CCCCCTCCTCGGAGCTGAAAGCAAGACGCCACGGCGCCACGCGGAGGAGGACGAGGAGCACCAACGGCAGGGCCTGGACACCTGGCCATGCCGTGGGATCGGACGACGACGGGCGCGTTCGTTCCCCACTGGAGGAGATCGGCATGGCCCCGGGGACGGATCGGCAACGTGCAGCCGCCTCCCGGAATCGATCAACAGAGGCCTCCCAAATGGGGTCCGAGCAGATGGGGTCAAAGGATCGCGCCGCATCGCCGATGCATCGCCGCGCTGGTGGTGCGTCGGTGACGTCGGCGTGGAGAAGATCGGGCTCCACATTGCGCCGCATTGCCGATGCACTGGCGATGCGGCGCGATCCCCCAACCCCATCTACTCTGGCTCCATCGGGGGGGCGCTCCATGGGGGGGGGGGGCTGGCAGAAAGGCATCCAGGATCGCAAGACGTCGAGCGTCACGAACGGCCCCTGGTGCGAAATTTCAAAGTGGCCAGGTGGCCCTTCCGCGTTGGGTGGATTATGGATCAGCACGGGCCCCTGAAAGCCGTAGACCGGCAGGCAAGTCGGGAGGTGGAGGCACCTCTTGCCACCTCCACGCAGCACTGCCAGCGAGACGTCGGGCAGGTGAGGCCAGAAGGATCGGGGGGCATCTAGCTGGGCCGAGTCAAAGCTTATCGCCAGACGAGGCCACGAATAGGAAGAGGAACAGAGGGAAGAGGAAGGAAGGAGAAGAGGGAGGAGGGAGGACGAGGGAGGTAGAGAAGGAGGAGGGAGGAACGAGAAGAGGAACTGGGAGGGCCCTACGAGGTTTCAGGGGGTGGGTGAAATGGTCCTGGGCACTGCAAGAAAGTTCTAAAGAGGATGGAGCAGGAGGGAGGAGGGATGATGACGTTGCTGTTGATGATGATGACAATGATGAGGATGCTGGTGATGATGACGATGATGATGCTGATGATGGTGATGCTGATGGTGCTGAGGATGCGGCTGCTGATGATGATGCTGATAATGATGGTGGCGGTGATGGTGATTGGGCTGATGAAGTTGTTGACGATAGTGGTGATCCTGATTTTCGCAAAAATTATGATGATGCTGATGATAATGATGATGATGATGATGATGATGATGATGCTGATGATGTTGATGATGATGAAGATGATGTTGATGATGGTGATGAGGAGGATGATGTGCTGATGCTGATAAGGAGGTTGGTAATGATGCTGCTGATGGTGATGACACTGGTGATGCCGATGCTCATGATGATGGTAATGATAATGATGATGGTGGTGATGATGATGCCGATCATGATGACACTGATGACGCTGATGATGATGATGATGATGATGATGCTGATGAGGAGGATGATGATGATGCTGATGAGAATGACGGTGATGGTGGTGATGATGATGATGCTGCTGCTGCTGATAATGATGATGATGGTGGGAGCGACCCAGCCGAAGCGTGGCAATGTGTGTACATGTATATATGTGTATACCTCTACATGTACACGCCAAAGCAATCGTGCAGAGAGCGCGCGAGCGTGTGCTCAGGTTCTACATGGATGTAAGTCAGTCATACAGCGTGAAAAAAACAATGGGTGTCACACAACAAACATAGGGAACGGTGGGGCTCGCCTTCGCTGCGTTCGCTGCGGAAGGAGCGAGCAGGAATTGTGTTCGGGAGAGGAATACACAATTAAAAACAAGTCTACACACATCAGCTTCAGCACCTGTTTCCCCCGCTGCTCCTTCCTGCCCCTGCGCTCTCCACCAGCCAAGGTAAGGGAGGGGGCGGGGGAGACAGCGCAGGTGGGGAGGGAGGTAAGGAGGAAGCACGGAGGAGGGATGAAGGGCGAGAAGAGCGGGAGAAAGAGGTCACCTTCGGGCTATCGTGGAGCCCTGTAGGCCCGCATTGAGGTCCTCTTTGGGCGCTGCCTTCCCTGCCACGCATGACTCACATCCTCCTTGTGGGCCTCTGGGGGGCACCTTCTGGCCCTCTGGGAGAGGGGGGGGGGGCATGAGGACCTGCAGGGAGCGCCTCGGGAACTTCCATGGAGGGGGCGGGCCCTTTGCGTCGCAGTGGCGGAATAGTATTGCCGTCTGGAGGCTCCTCCCTCCTTCCTCCTCCCTCCTCCCTTGGCGTCCTGAACGCATCCCAGATGGTGCCATCTTCGAGGTTTCCTGGGGCTGCTTTGGGCTTGTCTTGGGGGCCTCTGGGGCTGCTCTCGGGATCTCTTGGGGCGGTCTTGAGGCCGTCTCGGGGGGCTCTGGGTCCATCTTCGGGCCCTCCTGGGCCGTCTTGAGTCCCTCCAGGGGTACTCTTGGAGCGTCCAGTCTCCACTTGAAACTTTTGGGGCAATCTTTGGGATCTCCTGGGCAAATCTGGTGCCATGTCGGGGCAATCCCGGGCTTTCTTAGGGCAATGTTTGGGCTCTCTTGGGGCACTGGGGCTATCTTGGGGCAGTCCTGGGCCGCCTTCGGGCAATATTGGGGCCCTCTTCGGGCAATCCTG